CTCAATCAAATAAGCTGACACAAAAATTGCTGAGCTAGTGGGAATGTGCGCTTTGCTTTCGTGAAAATATCAAATAATTGATTGCATCTCTCTTTGTAAATCAGCACAACCCGTTTGCTAACACAAAACACGGTGGCTGAAAGCAACAATGAAAAATTAATCAAATGAAAATGTATTTGGCAATTTCAGACTGCATTACACACAAACCGATCTGGTTTGAGGGTAAATAGAATTTTATGTCGTTATCTCGTCAAATGATTCGTATATCGTGCTGTTGTGTTCCACCAAATTTTGATGTATTTTCTCCATTTTATTTATAGATATTACATATCAGTTTCCATGCCATGCCATAAATTCAATGAGTATTTATTTTAGTCAATTTGTCATGTCAGAATGACTAAAATGTAAAGTGCACATATTTATATTGCTCAAGATTGGCGAAGACTTTCGCGTAGCGTTGCTCTAGCATAAAACATTTAACGAAAACTGAATGCTTTCTGTCATATATGCGAACATTTTCTAATGCGATATCAAAATAATTTTTGAACATCTATTTTGTTGGTTTTGTTTTGTGCAATGCAAAATATATTTTTGGAATCGTGGTGATTTTATATAGTCGTTTTTGTATTGAAAAACAAAATAATTAAAAACATAAAATCGCTCGAAATAAAATTGTACCGTGTTTTAAAGTGTTCTTGATTTGAGCTAATTTGAATAGGTCTCGACGACGAATTCATCCTTTCTCAATACACAATAAAGAGTCCTTATTAAATAGCACTGTTTGAGCAATTCAACATTTAAATTTTGCTCCATTTTTATTTACACATTTGCGTCAAGTGTGCGGTGTGCAAATCAAAACCGGAACGACAAGACGAACCCTAAATAAATAAGTGAGGGCACAAAAGCTTGAAAATTCTCGGTTTGACACTTAATTAAAGCAGATTAAATGAATGTTGACTAAAAGTTTTAATTAAAAAAAAGCTGAAAAAAATACCTAGGATCGGGATAAAGAAAAGAGTGGCAAGGAGATTTCTCCAACCGAAATGAATTAAAAAAAAGTTTCGCCTTTTTAAAGAACAGCTCTTCGAAAGCTTCATTCTATCAATGATGTCTTTTTTGCGTTTACATAGACCAATTGATGGTGAATTACATTAACACCGGCTGCGAGTCACGTAAAATTATCTCCACCGAAGTGGTTATATGTATGTTTGGTGACTGGATGCTTTAATTTTGAAAAGAAATCTCGCATCTTTTTATGCTGTTGTGCACATTTCCAACAGGCTACCATTAGATGTAAATCATGAATTTAATTTTTTCGGTGCTTGAATCCAACACTTAACATGTATGAAAGCGGGGAAAAAACATTTTCATTATTCTGACTTTTAAAATTTGTGATATTCAAATCATAAATCAGACCAATTTTCACGCTTTACATAAATATACCATATTGCACATTAAAAAAAGCGGCTGTTAAATAAAGAAATTCCAATGAGTTTTTCATCCTGTGGCTTCAAAACGGATTTAACTTTTCCTGAATTCACCTTATCTTTTGCATTTTTTACGCTCGCACAGATGCGATGGTAAATGATGTCAGCAATCTGCGTAGCTAATACTTTTCACATAAACAAGGACGGAATATTGTATTCAAAAATTATCAGAGCGACCTGGAAAACAATCAGCATTCAATAAAAATTCAATGATAAAGACGAAACTTTTATCGCGTTTTCACTCGCCTCTCCAACTTTTTTTTTTCACTCATTCCACCATCAAATTTAATTAGCACGGATCGAATGCACTAACTCTTGGTGATTTCTTGGTGTCAGAAGATTTGTGTAGGTGGGAGGTGGTACGATTTTAATTGAAAATATCTGTACACCAAAACCATCATCAAGCGTTAACAGCCGAAGGAAACATTCGAAACGAACAAGTTCCATTATAAAATTAGTTAAATTTGTATCTGCTGCAGTAAAAGGCAGCAACGGCAACGTTCATCTGAAATTGAGAAAAGTGACGTTCATTTTCTCTGTGATTACAATTTGTTTTCAATTCAAACTACTTTCAGTCTACATTGTTTGTTGACACTCTTCCGACTTTATCTTCGTATCAGAGAAAATCTTTATGTTCCTCATGCCCCCGCCGCCCGGGTAAACGGTAAACCTGCATTTGTGCTTGCTGGTGCTTTAATCCGCCTTTACTATGCATAGTCAGTCATATGCTCTAAATCAATTTTCAACTTAAAAACTTTTACATCCAATTTTCCAAATTGGAATTGCAAATATTCGGAGGACTTTTGTTACAATTTTGAGCATCCACAACATACAGCCAACGAAAATGTTGGTGTGTTCGGTTATATTTCGTTTATTTCATTCGAATATTTCCGAAGATTTCTTAATTAAAATAACAGATTTTTTCGGGTAACTATTATTATTACCTGGATGGTAAATTGATTTAAAATAACGAAAAAAACTCATCTAAATGGATCAATCATTTTTTTTAAAGTGCTACGTTGTTCTTGAAAGGGCTTAGAAAATTGTTTATGTTAACGCGTATTTGTTTCATTATTTCGCATTTTTCCCCTTTCAAACACAAAGATAAAAGAACACAGGCTGCACAGCGCGATAAGCAAGAGATCCAAATTAAATGCAGAGTATTCTTTAGAAGTTATTTAAAGTTCAACTCTGGCAGTGGTTTATTGTGCAAAACGATTTTCGGATTTATTCAGTGTACTTCAAAAGAACACAATTTCTGTCGGCAAACAAAGGCCGACTTAAAAACGCCGACATACATGCTTTGTACAGGTATGAATGGAATCGTCTTATAATACACTGTCTGAAAAAAAATCCGTATCGAAATAATGATACAATACAATAGCATGAATGAAAAGGTGGAAATAAGTTTTCCAACGAAAAGACCTCCGGCATCACATTTTAATTCGCCTATTTATGCGATGAAATTATGAACGTCTCTTATGCACACTCTTTTGTTTCGCTTTTTGTTTGTTGTCGCGCAGTGCACAAAAGCAATCTTTTGTCAAAACTCATTTGGATGTACGGCAACTGTTCATCACATTTTTTTTGGATGCAATACACATTTCTGTGCCCAACCGGCTGCCGACCAAAAAAGGAAAACGTCATATCAAACTAAAACGTTCAACTGTGTTTTAATTCTCAATAAATATTCATTAGAGCTCCTTCGTTTCAAATATTCTTTTATACATCATCACTGTGACCCAATTACTAAAAAAGAAACAGATTATATGTATTAGTATATACCCATGGAACAATGTAATACAATCCAATGTAATGCTTCATTGGCTGCCGATTTCAATTTGTTCAAGGGATCAAATGTAATCCCAATCACTTGACCATATAATTTAATGTTAGATGATATGGGCATACATTTCAGCAAATCTCCAGCAATCCCAATAACCATTTCAAACTTAATTCGAAATAAGAACGAAAAACAAAAGCTTCGACATCTTACTTTGATTCGCAAAAGGTCTTTTGCTCTCTTCATCAATGTAGACGAAATCGTTGGCTTGTATCTGAATTGAACAATGGCCTGGAAAAGCCGGCAAAAGAACACAAAAAAAGAATGCTCAATTGCAAATATACAAACATAAAATCTAGGGGATAACCATGAATTGCAGATCGAATAATTTATAATAATAAACGCTATTTCTCTCTATGTTTGACTAATTCTGCTAGTATTTCTACTAGTTTGTTCTAATACTGCTATTTTTTGCTAATTTTTCTAGTACGTCAAAAATATTGCATACGTCAGATTGACTGCATGATCGAATAACCGAAATGTGTTTACGTAAATGTTTCAAGTTGACACTTTCAACGTGTATATTTGAAGCAGGCAATAGCGTATACGTTTTCAGTAAGAAATCTGTCATCAAATCTACATTTCCGATTGCAATTCGTAAATTGTAATTAATACAGATGGAACGTGCTTGGTTACGTGCCATTGAATATATTATTATTTAAAAATGGAAAAAAGCGTATTTAACTACATATTTTGATACATTTTAGTTCAACACTATTCAATTCGTTTGTTTTGAGAATTTTATTTTAATTAATTATTTCAATAAATTCAAGAATAAATGCTTACTAAAGTATATACATGTACAGTGCTAATTCTGCTATTTATTGCTAATTTCGCTATTTTCTTCATGTAAATTTCCCTATTTTTTTGCTAATGTGCTAATTCTAATTCGCATGGATATCCCCTAGCATAAAATAAAGATTTGGAATGTTTTTCATCAAAGTCCCTGTAGTCATAAAACGTAACGACCATTCAATACGGGAGTGCAAACTAAATACATACTGTGCTGAAAATGTCTGAGCTCGTCTGATTTCTTTTTTTTTAACAAAGGCCAGAAGCCTGAATATTTGATATTCACTAAGGTAACGTACAATAGGAATGAACAAGAAAAGATCCTGCTTTGTGTATGAAACATATTTTTTCCCTTTGATTCAGGAATTTCACGTTTAACAATTCTCACATTTGTTCACTTCAAAATTATGCGAAAAAGTTTGAGTGCTTATGATTCGATGTACTCCATTTTATGTTAAGACTAGACGTAGATTAATGTGATTTCTGTTATTTCCAATTAAATATTGTTGTTCGACATTCCATCGGTTCGAACAGAAACTAATTAAAGGTGAATAACATGGATTGTTAGTTGAAATAGTTTAATTTCACAATTTCAAATATTCATACATCACCGCATCTAACCAACCAAAATAGGATGGAATTCGTGCATGAAATGTGAAATACTTCACTCAAGTGCTCTTCCGCTTATATTATGCGGAGATTTCGTGCATATTAGAACTATTTTATGAATTTTGTTGCATATATGCATATTTCCATGTGAAATAATCTAACATTTTTGCAATGAATCAGTATTTCGAACGAACTCTTAACTATATTGAGTGTTGAGCATATAACGTTGCATTCCATTATTATAATCATCGTTATGTATTTCTTTTCAGCTTGTTGGAGGTGAATTTGATATGGAACTGAATTTCGTGATTCAGGATGCCCAGAATATCAAGCACATGCTGGAGCTATTGGATCATTGCCCCCCGAATTTACAGGTAGCGTAACATGATTGAAATCTTCATCATGCATTTTTCAATGTGTGACTTAAAACTTTATTAATCATATCAACACAAAACTGTATTAAAAATGTGAAACAAGTTTGAACAAACTTTTCAAGAGCTTTCCGAACATTCTTGATGAATTATTCTAGGCAGTCATGCCTTCATTATTTAAAACTCAATTTCTTAAAAAAAAACATTCATATTATGTAACCGTTTTGACGCTTGCGCTTTTTTAATTTGCATGCGCGGTATACCACAATAATGATGTCTAGACTTTAAGGAAAAAAGTCATATGTTTTATCAAAGTTTTTGTCAAAACCTCAAATTAGAGTTGTTCATGTATGTATAGCCCGGAATTCATTCTTCTACGCCTTTGACATTATTGCAGCTGCGTCACATATCGACCGTGTGTATTAGTTATTTATTTATTTTTTGGTTTCGCTAAGCAATCTCATCAAAGTAATGTTCTTGTCACCATGGTAACTGGTAGCGAAATCTGCTTGAATTCGTTAGAGCAAATCCAATGCCATAATTTTCCATATGCCAGATTAATGTTGTTCATTTGGGCTGTATAACACCATAATGTTATTTGGGCGCTTAGACAATCATTACAGACATTTCTATTTATTGGAAATGTTTGGCATGTGTCACATTCCAAAATCCAGATTTTTTCTCGGAAAACAATTTACTTCATAATATAATATAAATAAATACATGTCATTTCGTGATTGTATCAGTCTTGCTGTGATTGCTTCCAATTCCATGTCTCTTTATCAAAAGTCTAGTTTTCTTTCCACTGTACACAACTTTCAAGTTTGGATCTTCACCCAAAGATTTCTCTCATTTATAATTGATTTATTTTCTCAGGCAATCGAATTATGTGCATGAAGCACATTCAAAAATCGAAAGAAAAAAACAATTGAGATAATATAATTTGAAGTTATTATAGAAATGAAAACATTGAAAACAGTATACTGTTGAATCACTGACGAGACATATGTAATACATGTGTAAAAAAAAGTCCCATAATGAAAAAGAAAGCCTAGATACAAAAGATCCCAAGTGTATTGTGTATGCAAAATCTGTTTTCAAATAAATACAAACAAATTTATCCACGTTGAATTGTGTCGTCATACCAATTTGGGCATCATTCAAAAAAGAAGAAATTTTGCAATTTGTAATAAAAGCTAGGCAAAAAAAGGTCTTTTATTGTCAAAAGCAAAAATTGCATCATCAAATATTCATATCAAAGTTGATTCAGCGCGGAACACATTTTCGGATGGTAGAATACGAAAATTTTCAAATTGATTTTAAATAATTTATAAAAAGCGCCATGCTCGAGCGATTTTGGTAAAGAGTATACACTTTATTTAAATTGTTACAAGTTTGAAAACTGTCTATTCAGTGAGCACACAGTTCACATCCACTTCAAAATTGGCATGCATTTCCACTTAGTGAAATTAAATTTGTGCCAGTTAAAGCTTTTTATTTGAAGCATGTCCTTATTGAAATCATTTCCATCGTCTAATAAGGAAATTTACACATTCCGGTTGTGTATCATCATATCGAGCAATGAGAATGAAAACCAGAGTAACTGCTGCAAAATTGTAATTTTAACAGTATGTTAACATTCAATATTCGACATATAGATTTATAAAAGCTTTTATCGCAATATTTTTTTTGCGTTTATATAAAATCAATCTATCTATTGTGAAAAAACTGACCATAAATGCAATCTCTGCTCGAGCACAACTATTGCTTGTTTCAGCAGTCATTCATATTGTGGCCCAAGCGAATTCCACCATTTTGTTGCAAATAAATTTAGCGTCAGCTTGAAATTATGTGAACATTCTGTGCAAAATGTGTACATTCGACCCAGATAAAAGCGGAAAAGGAATGCTTTATATATTCTAAAACAACCATTATGCCAAGAGAAATTGGAGCCTATGTTTGTTATTATGCCAATTCGAAAACATTGAATTCAAATTCACCAACGCTTTCAATATTCATTATTACGATTTGAATATTGCCAGAGTCGACCGAACACAGGCGGTTTTTCATCTCACCGATGAGCAATGCTCGGTGTACAGTTGGGACTTTTGATTTCTCATTTGATTTCGATGAAATAATTCTGGTGTGTTTCATTATTGAAGTGTCTTGATGCCAGAGATTCGTTTCAATTTTCCCATTTTGAAATGGCTTGAATCTGATATGAATTCAAAATTAAATGAAAACAATGCGGCAAAATCCACTTTGTATAATTGATTTAAATTTTTTTTATTGTTTTGCGTGCGCTTGTACAAACAAGTGATTACTGCAGTTAGTATGAGAAAAGTAACCACAGATACAATCTAATTGAAAAATAGTTCAATTGATTAAAATATCGAAAATGCTTAATGAAGTCAGGTTTTATGTTTGTTTGCGCAACAAACTCGGCTAAATGAGACACTCACACACATTGTCATGTACAAAACCAACCAAAAGTGGTTTCTGTCAATTCAATTCTCCAGCGTATGTGTACATTGCGGTTGTTCATCCACGGATTGACGGTGAGGTGAGGGAGTGATAGCGAGCGAATACGTTAGATTTTCCGATGCCGTCTGCCAAATAAAATATAATGCAACCACCCACCATCATCTAGCGTACACTTTTCATTTGATATGTAGTGGTGTAATATGCAGCACATCAACTTCAATGAGAATAGATGTGACATCAAAAACACTTCATCCGCTTCCTTCTCGTTCCCTTTCACTTGTAAATTTTCGCATTTGAAGCGAAGTGTACACTTTGAATAATACGTCTATGGATTTGTCGGCATTTATTCATGTTTTTGTCGTATGTTATTTATATTTTTCTTTTTTTTGTCATCGTCATTTGGTTTGCACCACTTACGGCACGGATGGTTGTAGTTGTACTTGACATCATTCGTTTTTAACGCTCTACAACGAATACAAATGTCTAGATTTGTTTGTTTACTCATTTCAAAAGCAAGCTTTTACAACGACACATTAAGAGCTGGACTTAATACAACGAACAACAACAGCAACGGTAAAAAAAACTACTATTGCATCTGCAAAATGAAAACACGCCAAAAGAAAATATTTCACTCAGTCTAAACTGACTTAAGATTGTATCTGTCGCTCATATTTATTTATTTGCTCCACTCCAGCAGATGATTTCTGACAAGTGTTTGCTTTGTTCAAAAACATTGCTGCTTTTTTTAATGATTGCTGTGGCGACTTTTTAAGTTTGATGCTAGTTTGCTGATGGATCTCGTGAGAAATTTCTTTCTCATGGCTGAATGTTGAAGCAAGTAAAATTTAAGTGGACAGGACAAGACATTTTAAATAAGGACATTGTTTTTGTAAGTAAAAAATATAGAGATCGCCCACTCCAACTGGCGAATCATACACTATTTTCGCGATTTTACCGGGTTTCATTTTCAAGTATTTGTTTAAGATCCTTTTACCTGAGTAATGAAAAAAATGGAAGGAAATGATAAAAATGTGCAGCAATTTTTCATTAATGCTTTTAAACTAACACAGTTCTAAATAAGTCAAGCATCATCATCAAAATGTCCTTGGTCACTCTATTCCATAATTCATGACAACATCGTTCACGCGCCAAATATATATATTCTACCCAAACAACCGGAGGTTTTATAGTACACCATACTTTTTTCCCTCAAACTTCCGATGGGACATGTGTTCAAACAAAATCAAAACCATAAGACATTCGATGGGAAAAAAAAACTTCTATGGAATTGATGTTATAGACGTGTGTACGTCATCAACTCTCAATATTGGGAAAATTTATGAGTACCATTTGATTTTTCACTTCATTGAACCGAAGCTCTATCAACTAGTAGAGACTTACCCTTGAATCCAAAAATGTACGAGTGTTAGACGAAAAAAAAACCAAGCATTTAAGTCTCAATTTCTATTCATACAATCAATGCGACGATTTTTTTCTCACGGAAATTAATATTAAATAAATAAAGGTACACATTGTGAGGATCAGTTGAAAAGGTTCGGTTTTTACAAAGATTCAAATTCGAATCATTTACACGTTGATACAAACTTCCCGCAATATCTTTTGTATTAAAACCAATAGTACTATCACTAGTGTAATGTTGTGAAACCAAAGCATGAATACAAATAGAGAATTATAGCGGAAAGTGTGCGGATCATTGATTCAGTCAACGAACCATATCAATTGTGAGTCAGTGTCAGAGTCATTCGGTTTACAAACACAACACTGCTTTTTCCACATTTTGCCATCGAAATGTTGTGTGTAAGCTGGTCCTGTTGAGTCTTGATTCTTTTTAAAAACCTTGTGAAAAAAATGATTGAAAGTCATTGTGTCTGTTGCTAAAATTGCCCAATTTCGTCTACTCACAATGGGTCAGAATACAAACATTTTACATAAGAACGTATCTTTCTGCTGTGCTTGAACTTTGCAAAAACACTTATATCGCTGATAGCAGTAGTGTTAAACTTGTAAATAGCATTCATTATTACCGATTGAAATACTCCTTCTTTTCACTTCATATTACTGAAACTGAAAACTTTTACCATACGAAATCACAGCGCAATAAGTGTTGGCGGTAATTACAAGATGGTTAAGTGTTGTGCATTGCATATAGATTTTCTCCGAGCGGAGAGAATTTTCAATTGGAAATTGGCTGTCAACATCAATGGAAAATGTCATTTAAAGTCGTTATGGTTAAAGTCGAAAGCACAAATTTATTACTATTGCAAATATAAATTAGCTCCATTTGGTGCCATTCCTAAGTACTTGCACGAATGTTGTTGAATGGGGAAAATATTTTTCTTTTATTGGAGCGTGGGGATACAAACAAATGTAGCTTATGCTGCATATAAGCTATACATATACAAAAAAATATCCAGGTTAATTCAACCCCTGCAATATTGTATATATGTTCCATAGAATGATTACTGTAACGTAACAAAATTTCGAACAAATTGCTCAAA